CCCTCCGGCTAGTCCGGCTAGTTTTCTAGAAGAAAGTCTAAAAGTCTAAAAAGTCTAAATTGCCGTTCACCACCATAACATCTACAACATCAAAAATTAGCATCATCACACCTTGATATATGAAACGGCTATAAAGAATTATTAGGGCCAATAACAATAATTCTTTAGATTACTACGGTCCGACATGAGACAACCTCAGTGCAGTGACAGCGCTAAGCCGGAACAGACCTTCTAATTACATGAAAATATTCCTCAGCCTATCGAGTATTTATGATGATCTCATCTTTTCTAGTCTTTTTTTCTAAGTCGAGTTATTGATTTTACAAAAACTCATAGGGTTTTTGAGGTAATTCGCGTTTTTCTCCCCCATAAGAGCACTTTTCCCATAACATAAAGTCATATTCGGATCACCGTGAAAAACTACGTCGAATGATGTATAGTTTGTTCGGAAAAATAGCTTTCTCCATCTTTGAAAAGTCCGTGATTCACTGACCTCCGCTCTCTAAGAAGTTAGTTGCTGTGGATAAACGTAGTGCCGGCTTATTTGATAAAAGTACTGTTTTAATAGGGATAGATATTTCCATTGCTTTTGTGAAATGTTGAACCCAAAGTTCGGTAGCTAAGTTTGGGTCCGAGCAAAGATAAAAGGATGAATCAGTTTGGTTCAGAAACCTGGTGAAGGAAATGAAATCCATATTTTTATAGTCGAATACTTGCCTTATTTTTTGTACTGGTTTGATATGATAATAAGAGTGGTTTTCTAGAAAACCGATCTCTGAAAGCCTAGCGGTCCATCTGATGTTGATTTTCGGAACCAGCACAGTCGATTACCTATAACCCACTAGGTTTGGTTAAAGAACTGGTTGAACAGTTGCATATGTTTCCTCGTTAGTAAATAGTCCGTTGTATGAGTGTGGTGAAAATGAGACAGGCATTTCTTTTTAGGGGGTTTATGACAGTTGCGCGCGAGGTCATTTGCTCCTATGACAACTTGAGCGCATGGACTGATGCCCACGGGATACTTGTTCATCAGGACCTTATAAGCCTGTTATTCAGAACCAGCACGAGGATTTAAAACAAGAAACAGTACATGAGCATACTAATCCAAACAAAGAGATATATACAAGAAACAAAAAAACAAAGACCATAACATTATTCAGATCTGTATGAAGACGTGCATGATATGACAATCTGTTTTGAAATTCACATTTCCCATAAATTGTTTCTTCAGTTTTTGGATCGGCAATATATGAAAAGCCATTGTGAAGAAGTAATGGGATATTTTTGAATGTTTTGGAAAGCGTGACAGACATTTTAAACGGTAAAAGTAGGATTCTGATATTTTGCCTAAAAACTCTTTGCAGTTTACTCTCGTCAATATTCTGCAAAAATTATATTGTTTATCAGCACCCATCAAGTGTACAAAAATCATTTAATATAATAAATACTAATTAGCTTCAACATGTTTTATAAACGATATTGTTCTTCCTACTTCTACGTTTCAGGCTTAAAAGATTCCATGGTTATATATCTAATCGCTAAATTCGCTATAGTTTTATATGACCTACTAGTAGTAGTACTCTACTGAATATTTGCATGACATACCATAAGATTATTTAGCCATTTGAGAAAGATAACATCATATCTTTGTTCACTTTTGCAGAAGAAAAATTTTAAGAAAAGCAAACAAGACGTAATAGACAAACAAAAAAGGGGAGTATTTTCTTGTTTCATTTCACTTTAGCTCCGCCAACAATTCATATTTAACGTAACATACATTAATAGTCAGTGTTGTACCAAATAAAGAGCAAGACAATGAACTCGATAGTGACAGCTTGTCGACAGATGTAGGATGAATGTGATTCTATTTAAGTAACTTTCAACGTTAAAAAGCGCAAAACTGTCGATTAAAGAAGGTGCTTGGAACACCTCATCTAACAAGGAAACCACTTCAACTGTCGGATCGCTTTTTTCACGACACCTAGTGGACAATAGGTAATCGAGTGTGCTGAATCCGAATATCATAGTGATTTTGGGCGTCGAGCCCTCCAGAGACCGGTTTTGTGGAAAATCAGTTTTTCAGAAACTCTAATAGCTAACCAAAATCTTTCTTAATGAGACATGATTGTAACCCATACATTTCTGATTAAAATGAGACATCTCTCAGCTCTACACGACCCTTTTTTTGCAAAGTTATAAAATTTATAACAAAAGCCCTTAATTTCTCTCTTCATATTTCTGTAGCTGTGAACATTAGACTAGACAACTTTCTGTCGTGATGACTAGACTGGAGAGTTTTATCAAAAGCGCGGTTGGCATGCTTGAAATCTTCGTTGTAACGTTGGAGAAATTGAAGCTGATAGGCTATATTGGCGTGGGACGATGTCTTTATGACATGTAGGAGGAAAACTTTCTTGAATTCCGAGACATTGTGTGTAGTAAGTCAAAGCCGTCGAATAATCATGTTTCACTGCGTAGAGCGTAGCTATGTTATCAGAAAGAGTGGCTAATGTAGAATGCGTTGGACGAAGATGTTTGAGGAAAATCTGCAATGTGTTCTAGAAGCTTTTGAATGCTGTATCGAGATGAATGCGAATCTCGCGCAATTTACCGAATGGTTGTCCGTATAATACTTAATCAAACTTTTACTTCTTTTAAAGCCCCTCCTCGAAAGTAATCCTTTTTCAGGATTTACGCTGGAGTATATTCATGAACATAGTTGAAGTCTGAGTTACTTCCACTCTATGGCTGATTACGTAACACATGCATAACACTTTAGTCTGAGAAAGTTGTTGGCTTAGAAAAAAGAAGAGACAAAGACAGGATAATGACTCAAAATTGCAAAGATAAATACTCACTTCGTGGTCATATTCCACCTTGCAATCGACGTCAAACTTGAGTGTATATTGAGAGTGCTGAAGAGAGATGCCCTGACTGTGAAACGCCATAATAGCATTTCCTTGGTTGGTGATTTTTGACATTATCAGAAAATCGACTTTTTATACGCTGAACTATAAGTAAAATATAAGTATCTCTTTATTCAAATGACTTTTCTTACCTTACATTGATTAAGCGTTATATTTTATAAATATGTATGGCAGGAAAAAGGTGTCACAAGAAAAAGTATATCGATTCTATTTAATATAATTTGGTTTAATATTCTGCAGACGGTCAGCAATTATTTCTAATTTAACGCAGCATGTAAATATTTACGTTACCTATTTCAATACTCTTGATTAGGAAGTTGGGACCTTCTTCAGGGAGTTTATTTAGTGACAGTTTTGTAAAAAGTCTAAGTTGGAAAAGTATACAAGGTGATACTCAAATCACGCCTGTGATGATGCAGTCTTATTGATAAAATATTTTAGCTAAGGGAGCGCCCGTACACATGAAAAGATAGTAAAAGCTCTGAAGCTATCTGTATCTGATTCTTAGCTGAGGAGCTGCAAGAGAGGAGAAGTAGTGCTATTATCTTTACATATATATCACGTCACATTTGTTTCTTTGGTAAACGGAAGTAAAGAACCGGTTATTGAGTAACAGGTGAGTAACAAATTAATTAAATAATAAAAAATCACGATTATAAATACGGAGAGTTTTCTACTACAACAAGTTTCTACTTCAACAAGCTTTTATTCTGACTTCACAAACACTTATTATAAGAGAATTTATATTTTCCACTTGTAGAACAGAAATGATGTCAACGAAGACTTATTTTATTACATTGGTACTCTTATTCTTATTGAAAATAACTCACACAGCCGACTTGCAAATTAAAGACAGTTGTTCTTCTGTACAGTTACTAGGTTTATTTCCAAAAGATATGAAGAATGAGGTGCGACAATCCGTTGAATGGTCTATAGCTCGATCAATGTTCGAAGTAGCCATATTACTTGCACGCATATATAATATGACATTTGATGGACAATGTCTCGGATGGCAAGAAGTAATTGCAGAAAATGAAATGAGTGTAATGTTAACAATTTGCGAAAAATTAGCATCAAATAATATTGTTGGTATCATCGGACCAGCAGCGTCTAATGATGTTCGAGTAATATCATCATTTCCATCTCTTTTGAATATTCCAATGGCTAGTTACTCTGCTACAAATCCTGATCGATCAGATATAACCGTAAACGAAGCATTTTATCGTGTAGTTCTATCTGATCGTTTTGCTGCATTTGCTATATCCAAATTATTTCAACAATTCAAGTGGTCATCAGTCAGTGTTATCATTCAAAACGATGATTATGGTTATGGTGGATTAAAAGTGTTGAAAGATGAATTTTACTCGACGTCGGTACACATAATAAATGAATTAGACTTCGAGAAAAAAACTGACGATTTTACAGCGCATGATAATTGGGCAGAGATCCTATCAAAATCATCATCTCGGATTGTGCTTGTATGGGCAAATGAAAATGTAACGTATTCAATTCTGAAACATGCTCTAAAGGAAAATATGACCACTTCTGATTTTGTATGGATTTTAACAAATGAGGCTCCCATAGATCTCTTCAATCAGTCTGAAAAAAAAAGATTAGTTGGAATTCTCGCAGTAATACCCGTTCCTGGAGCTTTAGTCGGTGTTGCTGTAAATTCATCATTATTAGCAGATGCAGAAAAAATTTGTTATGAAATGAATCATCAACCTTGTTCAGTTAATAATGAAGTTAATAATTATGCTTTGTTTGCTTTCGATGCAACATGGGCACTTATTCTTGCACTACATCAACATTGCTCTCAAAATAATCATTGCTTAGATTTTGAGAAAAATGTTACCAATTGTTTCGGTGTTAGATATAGCAGTGGAACATACTATCGGGAAATACTACGTGAATCAACAAATTTCTTGGGTGTAACTGGACCTGTTGAATTCAGCAATAATTCTACTGATCGTTTGAAAGGTGCTTACTATCTTCTCAAAAATCTTCAGATAATAGGGAAGACTAACGGCTATAGTTACGTGCCAGCAATGAACTGGAGTGACACTGGAACTTGGGTAAATCATTCTGATTCCTCCAGAATTGTGTGGCCTAATCGTAAGTCAAAAGAAGTTCCAAAAGATTATGCAGTTATTTCAGGACAAGAACTAAAAATTATTGTTCTCGAATCGCCTCCTTTTGTCATCATTAATATCTAACTACACGTTAAACGAAGATCTATTAGAAATTGATTTCATCAAGAAATTAGCAGAAATTATGGGATTTACATATGAAATTCAAGTCGCAGGATCTACTGTTATCTATAACGATTTAGTATGTTATGTGCATAATAATGCTTATCATATGGCAGTTGCTGATCTTACTATTACATCAAAGAGAACGGACCTTGTTGATTTTTCAACAACTTTTCTTGAAAATGCTTTACGTGTCGTTGTTCGTACATCTGGCACAGCTGGACTAAGCATTTTCTCCTATTTTCGTCCATTTTCACGCTATCTATGGTTAGCATTTTTCGGTATTATAGTTTACAGTGGGATATCTATTTGAAAAATCAAGCAATCAACAATTAACAGAGCGAAATTGTTTAAACTCGACTGGTGTCAGTATTTACTATTCAACAAGTAGTCTTGTCGGATTCGGCTCAGATTTTGCCACGACGGCAGCTGCTCGAGTTCTCATCATCGGTCTCTACAGTGTCAGTGTAATTCTTGTTGCTACATACACAGCCAACTTATCTACTTTTCTTGCTCTTGACAGAGCTACACCCGTTATTTCGGGTATCGATGACATTATTAATGGAAAAATTCCTTTCGAACGCGTGGGTGTTATAGAAGGTGGGGCTACTCTTGAACATTATGTTAATAATGTCTCTCTAGTGTATCACCCATTGCGATCAAAGAAAGAAATTTTTACTATGTTACAATCGAAGGAGATTGATGCTGCTATAACAGATAATACTACAATCGTGTATGAAACACAAACAAACTATTGTGATCTCATAGCGGTAGGAAGAGACTTCGTTAAATCATCTTTTAGAATTGCAGTGAGCAAAACATGGTTATACAAGGAAGATTTAAATAAAAATATATTAAAGCTAAGAGAATCTGGTTACATGGAGCATTTGGCGGCTGAATGGTTTTACCAGGATAAATGTCAAAATGACAAGATAGATCCGAACCCGACAAATGAGATCACGATCGAGATGATGAGTGGACTGTTAATCACATTTTTTCTTATTAGTCTCGTTGCAATAGTTATACATCTGTGGCCCACAAAAGAGAAAATCAACGTGGATATCATGAAGCCTAAAGTGTGACTACGGCATGTCGCTAACTCTGGAAAATTACGTTATCGTAGTCGCCGCTCTTGTCCATACCGGTTTTAAAAAACTGTGTTCATCTTGCTTTTGCTGTGCAACGTAGAGCTGTCGGAGTATAAGATAAACAGAATGACTATACGGAGAAAAAATAGAAGTCATGCGTAGTTCCATTCGATTGGTAATAAAACTAAAAGTTCATTATCCACAAATGTGACTGAGGTAAACTGATGTTTAGTAAAATGTTTTAAAATAAATAAGTTGTTGATGAACTATATCACAATAGAATGTCACCTTCTGTTTGGCTATTCTTGAGCTACTAACCCGTTGGAGAGGTTTTTCTCTGACGCAAAATGAGAAATTTTCGAAATACTCGGAATATAGTAACTTATGTATACCCAAGACGTATATAACGCGTCCCGTTCTCAACAGTACAAAAGTAATTAAGGATGTCAAGAGTAATCGTGCGATATAAATGTTTTTTCTCTGCTTAACCTTTGAAATAATTGTTCCTATTCATGTTGATGTCAAAAACAAGGTATGAAGTATGCTTCACTAAAATAGCAAACCTTCAAGAAATCACAAGTTTTTAAACCTTTCAAAATTTCACAATGTACTTCTACTATAAAATAAATTTGATATACTTTTTGCATACTTAGTCGTCAAAATTAGAAATCTTTTTTACTAGAAGATCTGGATGGAAAAAGTAAAAATGGTAATTTAGTACAGAAAGATACTGTGTATTGTGGATGCTATGTTTGAGGGTACTATGTTTCTACATCCAAAGCTAAACACCAAGAAAGAAAATATTATTTCAAGATCAGTCTGTATCATAGAGAAAAAGGCGCTAAAAATGGATGGTAGAAACGTTTACTAGTTTAAATCTTTGTGATTTAATAACAAAATCTCATTTTTCCTTTTCTTCGCTTACTGTGGCATAAAAAACACAGTTTTTCTAAATCTGAACCGGCAAAATCTCCGTGAAACCAGCCACTTAAATATTTTTATCAATTCAGTACCTGAAAGCAGCTCTGATGCAAAGTAGGTGATCCCTTCATCAGACATGCCAAGCAATGACACAATATTAATTGGTTCTTCATTTCAGTGTATGTGTCCACCATGATGTTATAAAAGTCTTGTAACAAAACGAGGCTAATATACGACGTACACATGTTACATAGACACCTGTAGGAGAAAAGAAAGCAATTAACACAAGTGTTGCTGACCGTCATCTAAAATAGTAAGCAAAATAAACAGAATATAAATTATACCTTCAGACTACTCCCAATTGAAAAAACACGCCAAATTAGAACGTCACAGTTGAGATACCAGTTGTTTTTATAGCTTATAAATCAGTCATTTGAGTACTTGTTATGAAGACCGTGTTCATCACACAAAATGAAAATTCTAGGCACATGCCGTGCATAGCTGTAAGTTACTTCGACTATGTTCTGATTAAGATTCGTTTTGTATTAGACCTGAAGATATAAGGTGCAATTCATTTTGTGTCATTCTTGTCATAAAATCCAAAAGACCTATGAACAGAACAAAAAGAAGGAGGACAAAACTCATGAGATCATTTTGGCTGTTCTGTAAACTAAAAAGTTGCAAATGTACATTAATACACCTGGCGCCAGTCCTGGCACTCGCAGGAAATCAGGCACAACATCCGAGGTGGGGAAGGTAAACGTGTCGCTTGACTGTCACTTTGAAGGGGATACCTTCTTCTATCACAGTGTGGAAGAAAATCAATACAAACCTATTGAAAATACACACGGCATGGTTTTTCAAGGATCTCCTAGAAAACCTGTTTCAGAAAACACTTACGGAAAAGTTTATGTTTTTGAAAACATGTCAGCAACTCTCCTCTTCTGCATGGCGAAGGTCGAAGCTCTCTAGCTACTTTCTATCAAATGTTTTTCAAAAAACATCCGAGTCTATTCTTTTTTGTTTTATTAAATTTATCATTTAACCACGGAAAATATAGGAAGTATACGAACTATTCGTAATCGTTAAACTATAGTAAAATTACGAATAGTTTCTGTAGTTCTTATCGTTTTGCAATTACCAATAGTTCCTATAGTTCCTATGGTCTTGAAATTAGGCATAGTTCGTATAGTTCCTGTAGTTTCTATAGTTTCTATGCTTTTGCAATTACGAATGATTCCTACAGTTCCCATAGTTTTGAAATTCCGAATAGTTTTTACTTATAGTCCAACCGTTGTAAGGCTACCAATAGCCACGTGGCGCCAGTCCTAGGACTGTGAGGAAATCTGGCACAACACCCGAGGCCGGGAAGATCAAGGTGTCGCCTGACTCTCATTTTGAAGGGGATACCTTCTGCTATCATACCGTGGAAGAAAATCAATACAAACCTATTGAAAATGTTTTACACACGGCCTGGTTTTCCAAAGATCTCCTAGAAAACCTGTTTCAGAAAACACTTTCGGAAAAGTTTATATTTGTGCAAACACGTCAGCAACTCTCTTCTTCTGCATGACGAAGGGCGAAGCTCTTTAGCTACTTTCTATCAAATAGTTTTCAAAAAAGATCTGGTTTCCGGCCATTTTCTCATTAACAATTCGTCGAAAAAGAACAGTGAAGGGTGGGTTTTGTCGAGCTCAATGAGTTCTGCATGGGTCCAAGGAGAAGGAAGTTGGATCCAGTGATGGGGCGAATCACGACGGGAAATATGGAAAGATTTTAAAAAACAGTGATTTTTTAGGTTAGAATTCCGATTATTTTCGTTTTTTGCCTGGTTTGCTGTAATGAATTTTCGAACCTAATATGTGCGTTTTGTAGAGCTCATCGAGTTCTGCTTGGGTCCGGTTACGGAGCGAATCCATTCAGGAAATATTCGAATTCTGACCTAAGATATAATCATTTTTGTCTGCCACTACAGATAAAAATTGAGTTACCTGACAAGTATTTGTCCAATACAGCTACGAAGGCAAACTTTTAAAACAATATTTTATAGTTCATTGTGTAGCCCTTTCAATTCTATGTATAAACGATTCCGGGTCTGAGTGCGCTAACGATATCCTGCGTGAGTGAATAATACAAACACTTCACTGCCCTTTTGTATTAATAGCCGATGTATTTATAATTAACAGGAAATAGGAGAAAGACGTTTTAGCTCTAAATACAAGGGCACGCCACCGGCTACCATATGAAAAAAAGCACTTATTTTGTAACCAAACTGGAATGTTGTTGATGAGTTCTAGTAGAATTTTGCCAGAACTGAGTAAAGCTGGCGTAGGATGCAACTTTATGTTTCGGGAGAACGGGGCATTCCACTAATCAGACAAGAATAGGAGCGCCAAGTCAAGGATTCAATTGTTATATATGTTGTAGCTGAACTTGAACTTTATTTTAGGTATATAAAATAACCTTGGGAGACGATCTCATAGAAAAGCAACAAAAATCTGACACTAAATAGTGCCACTAACACACATCTGGCCACAGAACATAATAGTTTTTAAATTTTAAAATAAGAGTGAATGTAAAAAACAAGGTAAATGTTCGAAAATGTTGCTTTATCTTCTAATCTTTTCATTCTTGTAAGTACAAGATTTTACTATTATACAAGATAGTACTATAACGGTCACGCACGCTACATAACAACTAGCGGAGATCAAGTTTAAAAATGATGAAGCAATGCAGGCTTAGTTGATAAATGACTTTTGTATCAATTATTATGAAGTCGGCGATAACATGTGAAGCTAATATTTAATAATAGATGGTTTGAAAAGAATCATTTGGAAATCGAAGCATAGTAGACGCTTCATCCAAAGTATTAAATTTCACGTCATACTGAAAAAAAACGTCTACTTTTTAAAAAAAAATATACGTTTAATATAAAATCCATTGTAAGATGCACCCAGGGCAGCCTTGCAGTGAAATTTATTTTTCGACACTTCGAACGCGCATATACTAGGCATTCGGT